TCTACGGCACCCGAGTGCCGTCTACGGCACCCGAGTGCCGTCTACGGCACTCGAGTGCCGTACACGGCACTCAACTGCCGTATACGGCACCTAGTATGAATGCGGCCAGTCAACATTTTGGTTGACAACAGTCCTGTAAACTCGTGAGTACGTAAAAGTACACCACTCATAAAATTGCCTTATTTTCGTTGTCTTCTATTTTCATTACTCCGTACTTCCTTATTTTCTGGCTACGTATTTTGTCCACGTGGATATTGACTTGACAGCTTCCAATCCAAGTTGTTCTGCTGTTTTTGATCGTGACAATGACTAACGGCTTTTTAGCAAAGTGTGAAGTATTTCGAGTTCAGGTCTGTGCGAGCACAAGCTCTGATTTAGCTTGTTAGCCATGATCGGCGCAGATGAATTCAAGGTGCCGATGTTGCCAAGTGAGTTTTAAGCTATTTGTCCTCAATTTTTTTTTTTACTTTTACTCTCTTGAAGATGGCAGAATTGGATTCACATACTGTTTAGCAGTAGTGCAATTTAGCAAAGAGCAAAAAATTTACAGACAAGATGGCATTAGTGAGCAGTGGTGGTGATAGCAGATCAGAGTCTCAACGTTGCTCTAAACTTAAGGTACCTACACTATTGTTTCTTTGTGATGTTTATTACTGATCCGATATCCACGTCATTTGCCAGTGCTGTCTCAAGTTCAGGCTCCAATTATGTTACTAACCGGGCACGAGGAAGAGATCTTCGCAGCTCGTTTTAGCACTGATGGCACTTGCCTTGCAACTGCAGGATTTGATCAAAAGGTTTCCATTTGGTTCTTAATTTAAGCAGCGATAACTCAAAGATGCTTGTGAGGTGACAAACAATATTGACTAATTTGTCCAACTGACGTCTAGAACTTCTTGCCTACTTGAAGTTGGCAGCGACGTATTTTTCGCAGATGCTGATAATGAGTTGAAGCGACCCTTGAAACAGAAAAGGTGAATGCCAAGTTGCGATTCACAAAATTGCATTTTTACACTTCTTTGTGTTCGACGACTGTTATTGGCTTCATGTAAAGCGTCAGGTTAATAGAAACCCGTCCAAAATTAATCTATTCGGTAATTGTTTGCGTTGTTACTGCCATGCCGCATGCTGATAAAGTTATTTTGATGTGATGTGCGACCTCGGCTTAGAATTTTCCATTCTTATTGTTTGGGAAGGGGAATCTAAAGTCACTTCAGCATTCAGGCTCTAACAATGGCTACAGGGCGGGAGATGCGGGCCGAGCGAATGTGTTCCACAGTGTAGCTTCCCATGCATATTTGAGCAATTCTTAGAAAATTCAGGATAGTCACTTCGATTCTCTTAGGGGTTTCGATTGAGATCTGAAAAACATGTTTTCACAGTTTTAATTTGTTTTTTTTTTACTGCTGATTACCGCCGCAACACGCTGTGAAAATGTCAGTGAAACTTCAGATTTTTCTTTGGAATGTGTACGGTGACTGTGAAAACTTCTCCGTGATTCGTGGACACACTGGAGCTATCATGGACGTCCATTTCAACACGGACTCAAGGTTCTGTTGTTATAAACCTTTAGATTTTAGTTTAGTCACTGCGTATGCGCCATTCAGTCCTTGCGTTCTTGATGATACGCTCCTGAATCTATTAATGTGTCAGGGAAGTCCAGTTACTTGCTAGCTCTTTTTGGTGTAGTCCAATAAGATGTTCTGAAAAATCATATCTAACAAAGAATGTGTGAAAGTGAATGGGTTCGAGGAGATTCACTGAGCGAGCTAAGCGTCATCGCCTTACCGACACCAACTCCTTGAAGTTTGGAACTACTCTGGAATAGTGTATTGCTGATTATTCGCTTTGATTTTTTTTTGCGGAACGGCAGTTGCTTTTCAATACCTCCTTCCCTTTACCTTTTGTGCTCCCCCTTCTGTGCTCGATAGTGTTTTCTTTCTTGAGTAGCCTTAATTTTTTTTCGACTTCAAAAGGCACAACGTTAAAACAAGCCCCTTGAATTGAAATTTTAAGCTTTTGTTCAGACGTATCTGAGTAGTCTATTGCAACAACATCAACAGCAACTACTACTACTAGCGATAACAATAATAATCATGATAGTATTAGTGGTAATTATAATAATAGCAATAATATCACTACTAGTAATAAAGCATAGTAATAACAACACAACAGTAATAGTGGTTATCATTTTTATTGTTGTATTAATTCATAATTAAATCAAAGAGTAATTAGAGAACTAACGAGAAACAGATAGAGTGTGCCATTGTGAATATCTGTATGTCCTTTTGTCTGTCAAAGAATTAGAATATTCCCTTCCTTGGCTATGTTGATCGACATCTTTCAAGGAAATGAGGGCTATGTGTGCTCTGATTTCCTTAGAAGATGACGATCAACTTAAACATTGGGACTGTTTTATGTTGTTTTTTTTTTCATTTCTCTTTGGCTGACTGAGGGATACTACTTATTGTTAGTTTATGTTGACCGCTATCGACATGATTCTATCAATATCGTCATAGTGAATAGTACTGCTATTTTGGTATTTCTTTGCGTAGCTCCCCTTAGGTTAAGGAGTTCATATTTTGATGGAACACTGGAAGTAGGTAGTATGGTGGGTACTTCGCCACACTAGTAAAAAGATACACGCAGAGGCCATTCGTGTCGGCTCTTGAGTCCTTTTTTTGTTCAGCCGAAAAAGGAACGACAGGCATTAGCTGGGCTTCTGCGAAAAAAGCGATTACCACCTAAGTCTAGTGATCAGACTGATAACAGTTTAATTAATCAAACAAGCTTAAGCTCAAGCTAAGCACAATTAATCAAGCGTATTTACCTGGGGATTCATGAACACCATTTCTGGTGTATTTTACAAAGGATCCTCCAGTGATGGAAAGCAGCGCAGCGCAAGTTCGAATCTTCAACCATGATTCGTTCTATTAAAGAACCATCAAACGCATGTATTCGTTTGAGTCTTTGCTTTTCATTCTACACAGTTCAGCTTATTGGTATCTGCGGCTACTGACAAAACTGTAAGAGTATGGGACATGGAGACAGGAGCATGCCGACGGAAATTCAAGTCGCATATTGACATTGTTAATGCTTGTCATCCTTCCCGAAGAGGGCCGCAGCTGATCTGTTCAGCTGGAGATGACGGTCTAGTTAAAGTAAGATTTATACCTTCTTTGAATATTTTCTCCTTTTCTAGTCTTTTGTCTCAAACACATTTCTAGCACCATAATTGGATACCAGTCGGGCCGCCCGGTTAACGCCGGGCTTCCCTCATTCTTATGGTGACGCCCGGCTTCGCTGGGCGCTCCTCCTTCCTGTGAAAAAATTGCTATGCGTAAATTGACTCTCCCGGCTGACGCCGGGCTCCCATCTCTCTTGTGTTAAAATGGCCTACCCGCCTGCACCTTTATCGAATTTGAAGGCTTTGGAGGATGAAAACAGGAATTATTCATTCCCGGCCAAACACAAACACCCAACGCAATCCGTGCGCGCCTCGTCCGCCATGAACAGACCTCATTAGGTGTGTTTGAGTAACTCGATTTATTTGCGACTTACTCAACCTTGGTTTCGAAATTTCGCTTCAAGTCTACATCAACATTTTTTGCTCACTCCTCGCCTCCTGTGAGCGGAGTTAAGTCCTGCCGCCTGACATAGGCGCTCCCTTCCTGCCGCCTGCACTCCTACCAAATTTGAACATTCTAGGTCCAAATTCAACTTATTCACATAAATCCCACCCCTTGTGGGCGGACTTCGGTCCGGCCAACTCCCATAAGTGTTCCCATCCTGCCGCCTGTGCTCTTACCAAATTTGAATTTTCTAGGTCCACAGGGACAGGAGTTATGAATTTCTGAATTGAATTGAATTGGAATTCTGCCCAAACCCCGCCCCCTGTGGACGGAGTCCGGCCCAGCCACCCACCTTATCCTGCCGCCTGTACTCCTACCAAGTTTGAGCGCTTTAGGTCACGGGGACAGAAGTTATGACTTTTCTCTCAAACATTTATTTCGCACAAACCCCGCCCCCCGTAGACGGGGTCCGGTCCGGTCCGTTATTTCATTCATCCAATTTTTCCAACTTCCTAGTTTTGATGATCTACAGGGTCCGCTAATTGAGACCAGTCCACCCCTCTCCTTCCCTTATCACCGCCCCTCTAGGTATAAAAGGACATTGGCCATTTCGCCAGTCATTGCATAGTCCACATATGCATTCAAGCGTTCAAAACCGCCTTTAAAAATTAGATTGAAAATCAATTGAGGGACTCATCCTAGAAATAGACTTGATTAATGTCAAAACACCTTATCCTTCACTCCTAACTTCAGATTTCAGGTACATGATGTAAGGCAAAAGAATGCGGTGAAGACATATGAAAATAGATTCCAACAACTGGCTATTTCATTCAATGACACAACAGATGAGATCTTTGTCGGAAGTATCGATAGCGACATTTATGTGAGTTTTTCGATGCTGTCTGTTTCGCTCTTCCATTCATTCACTCATCAGAGGAAGAAGAGGGGCACTACCGAAGTATCGGCGAACATAACGAAACCACGTGGGGTCGCCATGTAGCTTTCAGAACTGAGTGCAGGACTGATTGAGAAAATAGTGAAATGAGAGAAGGACCCGGTTCATTTGAGTGGAACGACCAACTGCTCTGATACAAATAATAGAGCTGAAAGAATTAGCAAAAGCTCTTTCAGTGTTGGGATATGAGACGCGACGATATATCCTATGTTATGCATGGTCATAAGGATATCATTACTGGTTTGGCGCTCAGTCCGAATGGCAATTTCTTGTTGTCTAACAGTATGGACTGCTCAGGTCCGTTTTTTCATTCTTCCGTTTGTAAACAGAATCATAAAAGAGTGTGGGGTTGAGCACAATGAAATATGGGAATCGTTCTCTGCTTCGACCCAAGGAATTTCGATTCTACACTTCAAGTTTACTTGGTTCCTCGCCTCAGCTAGTGTGTTTTGGATTTTAGATTCAAAATGACCGTGTCCATGTAGAAAACGTTTGAAAAGTGTTTGGAAATCTCGAATACTTTCGAAACACTATAATATTTCTGTTTTTACAGTTTTTTCTTCCTCCTCATCCGTTCAGACACTTCGAAATTTCATTTTGCTTCCCATTTCAGCAAAAATGTGGGATGTGAGACCGTTTGCGCCACAAGAGCGTTGCGTGAAATCGTTTTATGGACACCAACACAACTTTGAAAAGGTTCCTTTATCTCCTTTGTTACGTGCCCCTACTGTCATGCTGTTTCATTTTCCTTATAGAATTTGCTGAAATGTGGGTGGTCTGGTGACGGTAAACGAGTTACGGCTGGTTCAAGTGATCGATTTGCGTATGTGTGGGATGCCTCATCTCGATATATACTTTATAAATTGCCAGGACATCTAGGATCAGTTAATGCTTCCGATTTGCATCCAACTGAACCCATATGTAAGTCTCCAATGTTCTCCTTGTCTTTTCATTGAATGAGTGGCAAGGTTAAAGTAAATGGGCGCCTTTTCAGTGTTATCCGCTGGAAGTGACAAACGTATTTTCTTGGGCGAAATTCCGTAAGCGCTACAATCGCATTGATCTCATTCTGTTTGTCCTATGTTGTTTCTCGTTGTAATATATTTCACCTGGGGTGATTACAAATAAAGAATCTTTCTTGTGGAGAGACTGTTTTGGACCAGATACGATCTCTGCGGATATTTTCTGTCAGGTTGGAGTTCTTGTCCTGCAGAATTCCTAAATATAGTGTCTGAATCTTTCTAATTAAGAGTTATGATATGAAAGAGGTATAGCGCTCCAATGGTGGGTTGTAGAATCGAGCTCTCCACTTTCGCACGAGCAAAGTTCATGTTTTCTCTCAATTTCTATTTTGTATGGGCGTACATCGTCGTCACAGGCCCGTTTGAGTGGATATTATATTTTTGCATTACTATTGGATAGTTAGACTGCGCTAATTGTGCCGCCGTCTTACACATGCTACTCCGCGATTTCTGGGATTCAGCTTGTGTTCCAGAGACACGTGCCAAGCTATTCGTAAAGGCCTTAGACGTATCTCTATATCATGTTCAACGAGTATCTTCAAAAATCTAGCTCTGAAGGAGAATCTTCTCGGGAGTGCGAGCATAGGTAAAGATTGTGAAGTTGTCTTTATGTGGGTAAGTAATCGGGTTGTTATGAAGGATTGAAATGTTGTATAAGTTCAGTAACATCCGATCTGAAATAGGGAGCTTGCGAGTAGGAAAAAAGTTGATTCCTTTCATCTATGGAATATGGGAATCTTCAGCACAAGTAATACTGCTAGTGGTTCTGCTCACCTCTCTTCAGTATTCCATGAATAAATCTCATAAAGACTTTTTAGGGTAATGAAACCCTTTCATGTGTAGTATCTGGAAAATCTCACCCTCCATCTGTCGAGCTCGTACCAAATTTGGAAATATGAACGCCCTAGGTTGCACCCACCGTGGGTGTTTTTCTCTGCGCTCCAAACTTTTGCTGTCAGGGACGCAAAGTTCAACCAGTCACGTAACCCCACCCCCCTCCCCTCTCTCCCACATGGGCGGAGTCGAGTGGTGTTACCTGCTAACAATGCCCCCATGCTGTCGCCGTACTCCTACTTAGTTTGAACTCTCCTCTCTGCATCCTCGTGAACAGGAGTTATGAATTTCCGCTCAAACATGTATTTCGGGCAAGCCCCTGTGATCATAATCCGGTCCTGCCACCCACCGTAAGTATTTCCATCCTGCTGCCTGTAATCTGGACGCTCTAGGTCCACACTAAGAGGAGTTATGATATCCCGCTCAAACGGTTACTTCACGAAAGCCCCGCTCACTCTAGACGGATGCCCCAAGGCCGATTTGCCCGTTTTCACGCACGCTCCACCCATTTTTGAGCGGAGTCTGGACCTGCCACCTATCATTAGTGTCCCCACTATGTCACCTGTACTCCTACAAAGTTCAAACTGTTCGGGTCGCGGGAACACGAGGTGCGAGTTTCCGCTCAATCATTTATTCCGCGCGAACCCCGCCCCTTTTGAGCGGATTTTGGTCCCGTTTCCCACCACAAGTATTAACATCCTGATGCCTGTACTCCAAGCAAATTTGAATTCTCTAGTTCCGGTGGGACAGCACTATGAATATTCGGTTAGGCAAACACACACACACACACCAACAGACACGCTTAGCAGATTATATAAGCAGGATAAGTTGCATGAACGGATGGATGGAGCTGTTAGCTTCTGAGATTCCTTCTATTTTTCTTAATTCCATCCTGATTCATGAGGTTGATAGTTAAGTTTTATGACACCTGTGTCGTCTCTCTTAATCAAGGTCGCCTCGCCTAGGTGCGAAGCTACTTTAATTGGGCCGATAGCTGCTTGTGGATAAAGGGGAACGTCCTTTTCGCGCACCCGTTGAAACTAGGTTACTCCGTCCACTTCGCATGATGCAGCCCACTGCTTTTAGAGATCACATGGTCTGGACGAGGTTCCGACGCAGAAATCGCACTGTCTTAGGGTAGTGACGATGATGCAAAGTTTTCTCCATAAACAGGTGGAGGATCGACAGCCCTTGACAATCATGTGACATGTTCTCCTGTTGGACTTTTCCTTGGTGGGAGCTCAGAAAAGCGCGACCCCTTTTCATCCCCCACCATTCAGGCCTCCCTCCCCAGGGAGGGCTATGAATCTACCCCTAGAATTGAGTTGGGGTTCCGATGGTCATCCTTACCGCTACTCCGCTATTAACTTCATCATTCGTCTGAGCGCTTATCTCCTTACCGATTTCTGCTGCCGAATTCTTCAAGAATAGCTCTACTTCAATTCTACTGCTGCAACCAGCCACCAATTTATTTATATTGCTGTAGTGTCGCTGTGAAGCCGTTGAATTGGTGAATAATCGGGTTCTCCTCTCTAGATTTACACCAGTTGTCGTGAGCATGTTGCATCATGATCCTGGTGTGATTTAAAGGCACAATCCACGATAATTTCGAAGTACTCTTCTTTAGTCGAAAAGCAAAAGTATAGGTTGGGAATAGTTCATCGGTAGCGAAGAAAGCGAGAAAATTCGCCAATTTTGAGTAAAATAAGGCTCCTCATAAATAGGGGAAATGAAGATTGGACAAGATTGCCGGAAATAACATGGAGGGTATTCGGACGAGATTTCAGCTGTTGCAGTTGCCCAAAAAGCTGACTACATTGAGCTACAGAACTGCCTTTTACTGTCGCTATGGGTCATAACAAGTTGCTTGAGCCTCCAGCATCGGTTCTCTTGTGGAAGGTGCAACCTCTGCAATGCCGGCTGTACTCGTCCGAGGATACACACGGTACAGTATTTGAACCTTCATATCACCCCAACTTAGCCGTTCTCCGACCTTGTAGCGCCAGATATGGTATACGAGGGCTTCGAATTCATCCTAATGGGAAACACAGAGACCATTTTTGTCGTGAACTGTGCCTTTGAATTATCAGAAAATCAGAATTATTCCTGCCAGCAACTAGTGAGCAGTTTTTCGACTGTTTATATATTATGTCATGCCTATTACGTCTATTATATTCTTTCTACGTCTGGCTATCCCTGACGTGGTATGTGAGGGCGACCTGACGCTATGCTATGTTGTAGTCCTTATTTATTTTTCAGTTTTGTTCTTGGCTTCCAAACTCTATCATAAATGGAGTGCCGTAGAGTGTAACAGTTATAATCGTGTACCTCTAGTCATTCGCTCTTCATTTTTTAAAGACAAACCCTGTCTTAAAAAGGGGTTGCAAAGTTTTGCACGGAAGAGTCACTTATCGCTAGGGCGAAAGCTAAATGCTCATTATTCAGTTCAACTCTTTAATAAGCGGGTGAAAGGAGAATAATTGAGAATGTATGATGATAGCAACAATAAAAAAGTCCAGCGTCTAGAGAAGAAGCATGTTGTTGAACACGATGTGTGTGGATACCATTGATTGAAGTGGACGCTGCAAGGAGAAGAGATATTTCAATGCGGCCGATTCGGGGAGAAGAATATCTACCAAAAGTAGATTAGCGCGAGTGACAAGGAGTTAAGGCGATGTGAAGCATCGTAAAATGAGGATTGCAGTGCTGGGAGCATATGCATTGAGAATTATTGTGGATGTGCAGGAAACCCAAAATGTAAGGTTCCCGAGCCGAGAATAGTGCAGAAGAGTAAAAGCAGATTTAGTGCTGTTGAATGGATTGGTGCTCGTATAGTTTCGGCAACCTCCCCTCATAGTGCTGAATTAAGCCCTAATCTACAGTAGCGCTCAAAAGTCTTCGGTGAAATGGTGCTTGAGTCGTACAGTCCCGTCGTAACTCTTTTCATTGTAGATCTAATCATGCGAAATTTCTATATTTTGAGCGTGGGTGTGCTGTGAATATTTACCACTATTAACCTGCAATCTGATCATGTTCCAGATATTCCAAAGAGCATGAATTCAAAATCGACTAAAAATTCAGATGATGGTCCTTGTTGTGGATTCACAACCATATACATAGATGTTTATACTAGAACTAGCCTTTACCAGTATGATAGATAACATGCGAGTTCAACATATTAACCATAGGCATAACATGACATGAGTATCTCTTGAGTTGAGACCACAGGCATGACCTGGCGGTATCATAAGTGCGCAATCAAGTAGTTAGCTTAAGTTCTGCCGTTGGCGCGGTCCACTCTTTCATCCCCCGAGCTTGAGTACCGCCACGGGCCCCCTAAGGTCCAGTGGCGATACGGTATCTGAGGACCGCCCACGTATTGTGTATATAATCCCCGTGAATGTTATATTATGGTCGATCCTTATACTAACACGTTGTAATAAACATTACACGTCACTGGTTAAGACTTCCATTGGCTCATTAGCCAAATTGGTGCATCGGCCTTGGGTTCAAACCCACAAATCTGCTCACTCTTTTGCGCCAGCTCTCTCTACAGAGAGACAAAGAACCCAGTTCTTCCTTGCGAGTCCTCCCCGGAGGAACCAGAAGAGCGAAAAACTACAACTTCTCTGCGCGTCCTCTCCGGAGAAACCAGAAAGAGTACCTTCTACGTTCCCGAACACTTGGAAACAGAACTCTTCCCTGCGAGTCCTCTCTCGAGGAACCAGAAGGTTCGGGAAAAAACTTCTACCTTGCGCGTTCTCTTCGGAGAAACCATAAGAAGTAATTTCTACGTTTCCATTCACTTGAGTTCACTGATTTCCAACACCTGGGAATCAAATAAGAGCTACAAAACAACGAAAGACCCGCGTGGCAGGAAACACATCCTACACGAAGCCAGGGTGTTTCAAAAGAGACATCGAACTGAGCTGAAAACTTCACACAGTTTAGACGCTCGTTGGTCTCGAACAGCTTGTGCTCAAATCCGACGAAGCACAAAAAAGCAACAACTGCTCTCAAACACCTCCATCATCGAAATGGCGGAGATTTAACTGTTCAAGACCAGAATCACGCATGCAAGCTGATCCGTTAAAGCGAGTCAGATCTCAAACCATTCACATTTCCGACTGAAAAGGAGGAATGTGAGGTGTACATAAGAGAAAAAACTGCACAGCTGAACCACTTGACAACAACAATCACAAAGGCAAAACAGCATCACGATACCTATGTTGACAAAGCGATCGAAACAATCAGTTCACGCTCGGAACAGAAGGATCGTGAAAAGCTGATGCTCGAGCTGAACAACCACATGGAGCTCGAGTCAAATGGCCTTGAAATCGTTCATGCAATGGCTGAGCAAAATCGAGTTCAGAAAGGAAGAATTGGCGCAGCAAGCACCGTTCATAGCGGAAGCCACCAGCATTGCAAATCAGGCTGGTAGCAGCCAACACAATTCCCACAGCGCAGGGGGATACTCTCAATACGTTGTACGAACATAGCATACGAGTTCGACGCCCTCTGCTCGAAGTTCCAACATTCTCTGGAGACTACAGAGAGTTCAACACTTTCTGGTCAGTCTTCGAATCCCTCATACGCAACGAGACGGNTTACCATAACAGGAATGGGAGAGCTTCAAGAAACCTTCAAATCGAATGAAGTGAAAGTGACCTTGAAGGGCTTACGCAGCCCGAGGAAACTGCAACGTCTGTCGATTTTCACTAAGGAGAAACTGACGTCGACTACCGAAAGACCATAGTTATAGATAATGGCAACATCACTGCTGGATTTCCCTTCACTGAAGAGGTGAGAAATTTGAAGGACAACTTCAGCGTAGCGCTAAGGAGATTGTAAAATCTATTAGGAACACTCCATGGCGACGAAGAAAAACTCAAGCTCTACAGCGAAACATTCGCGAGCTATCTCCAGGAAGGAATAATCGAAGAGGCAACTGACCGACCGGACAGAATTGCCACTTTTTATCTACCCCACCGACATGTGTGGACACCATCGAAGTCTACCAAGCTTCGAGTAGTATTCGACGCGTCCTCTCACGCAAAGAGCGAACTTTGTCTTAATGACGTGATCTATGAAGGACATTCCCTGACACCTCTCATCCATGAGGTAGTCCTGCCATTTCGAACGCACCAGTACACAATGGTAACAGATCTACAGAGGCGTTTTTACAAATAAAGTTACCCGAAGAACACCGAGAGGTCACACGGTTTCTATGGGTGGAGAATATTCTCCGCCCAACATCTGGTGACAATATCAGATACTTTCGCTTATGCAGAGTACCGTTTGGCATCAACGCAAGTCCAGCCATTCTGAATCAATGCATTTTGAAACACATTGAAAGCTCAGAGTTAGACATAGCTCAGGAACTATCGAAGTCACTTTATGTCGACAATGTTCTACTCGAAGGAACAAGTGCAGATGACCTTGTTTACAAATACGCTGAGTCCAAGAAATTGTTTTCGTCAATGGGAATGAATCTTCGCGACTATCTCTCCAACTCTACAAGCGTCAACAACAGAATACCAGAAGCTGACAGAACCACCACAACCGAAGTCAAGGTTCTTGGAATACTATGGAATACTACTGAGGATACAATATCGCTCAAATGTTGCGAGAAACGCTTTGATAAAATCTCAAAGCGAACGGTCCCGAGCCAAATAAATGGCTTCTGTTATGACCCACTCGGTTTGCTATCGCCACTCATGACTCCAGCCAAAGTCTTCCTTCAAGATCTTCACAAGCAGAAATACAGTTGGGACGCTCCACTGTCGCGCCAAGATCAGAGGTCATGGGGGGAGATTAAATCCAACATAAGTGGTTTCGAAATTATCTTACCACGGAAGGTCGTAGAAAAGTCATCAGACAACACGATGTCAGTCTTTGTGGATAGCTCTAAACGTGCGTATGCCTGCTGTATCTACGTAACATCGACTTCCAACAAAGGAATCTCGGAGACAAGACTTTTCACTGCGAAATCGAAGATCGCCCCAATGAAAAGAGAGCAGACTATACCACGCCTAGAACTTCTATCTATATTCATCGCACTAAGTCTTGCCGAATCAACCAAACAGAAGGCTAACATGGAGATCAAACAGATTAATATCTTCAGCGATACTACAATCGCTCTCTGCTGGATTCAAGGGACTAGACGCCTGCCGCCCATAGTTACAACACTTGACCAGAAAATCAGTCTAATCTGGAAAAGACTTCAAGAATCCTGCAACGTCTCATTCTTTCACGTACCAGCGCAAGAGAATGTAGCGGACTGCGCCACGCGAATTGTAGTTGAAGGAAATTTCGTCAACCATCGTTGGTGGTGTGGTCCAGTTTGGCTCAACATGCCAGCGAATAGATGGCCGGTGAAGAAGGCGGAAGACTTGCATGAGCAAAATTCCAATACCGAAGAAGTATACTCTTGCGCAGCCAATAGCGTGGCAACAACAGCGATATGGTCGACGGAAAACATCAGCAACTACCTCAAGCTTATCAGAATAGTTGCTTATTCAGCCCGTTTCATTCGCGAAATAACGAAAGGTAAACGCTTGGCTCTCAGCACAACTGGGTTACAAACAAACGCAATATCTGCAGAAGAAGTCGTCCAGGCTGAAAAGCTCATCATTCAGCAAGAACAGGCAATCTACGGTTCTGAGCTGATGACTCAAAACAAGAAACTCAACGTCAGAGCCGACAAAACGGCATATTCCGAAAATTTCGCAGGCTTGTTAATGCTGAACTCAGTTTTTCAGCTGCTAATCCTGTGCATATTCCAAAGCAAAGCAAGCTAGGACAACTAGTTGCGGAGTATCTACACAGAAGCCTATCACACTGTGGAACTAATCAGTTGCTCCTCAATATTAGGCAACGATTCTGGATTCCGCAAGACAGGCTACTTTGCAAAAGGACGCTGAAGCATTGCGTCACGTGCAGAAGATTCAATACGGCACCGTTCAAGTACCCAAACATGGGTCCTCTGCCTACTGAACGTGTCACACAGTCACCTCTATTTACGCACACAGGTGTTGATTTCATGGGACCAATCACGTTGAAATCTACATCCGGAGAAGATTACAAACGATATGTTGCTTTATTCACATGCCTGGTCACACGACTAGTCCATCTCGAAGTGGCAACGGATCTCTCTTCAAAGAGCTTTATCTTCCTCAAAAGATTCATCGCTCGAGAGGAGTACCCGTGAAAATAATCAGCGATAACGGCACCAACTTCCGGCTGACCGAACATATTCTGTCCCAGGATCACAACAATGATGAAGACCCTCATTTGTCTCTATTTCTCGCAGAGCATCGAATAACATGGAACTTCATTCCTCCCTCATCACCATGGATGGGTGGCGTATGGGAAAGGATGGTCGGCACGGTCAAACGATCACTCCAAAAAACAATAGGTCGACGAAAGCCAACGGATGAGTTGTTACATACTACACTTTGCGAAGTAGAAAGTGTTGTTGACTCGCGGCCGCTTACCACAATCGGAGACCAGGACTCCCCATGTGAGACCCTACGACCGATCTACTTCGTTTATAAAGACATACGGCACGGAACAACCCAGCTCGCGTCAGAAAACTATGACGGTGATCCAGATTTCCAAGCTGTTCCCGAACTTTCCTCCCAGAAAGCAGCAAAGCTAGCTATATCGACAACCGAAAAGCTAACGAAGAAGTTTTGGAGCTTATGGAAGAACGAATACCTCATAGAATTGCGAGATCGTTACAAAGTCATCGGGAAGAAGACAAGATCCCCCGACCAGGTACCACGCGTTGGAGACGTTGTGCTCCTTGACGACGACTCGCAACTGCCAAGAGGACAGTGACCAATGGCCCTGATTACTGAACTTATCACAAGCAGAGACGGAGAAATTCGGAGCGCCATGCTACAAACTTCAACAGGAAGAGTGGTCCAGAGGCCGATCAATCGTCTCATTCCACTGGAAATACACTCTTCAACTCGCTCTTCAGAGGAACAAGCTGATGAATCTCCTACAGTTGCAAAAAGAAATAGGAGGAAGACGCCCTCCAGACCAGCCAAGAAAGCTGACGTGGTCATTAGACAACAACCGCCAAGAGCCGCAAAAAACCAGGTTCCTTACAACGGCTCAAGAGCAGAACCAAAAAGTGCCCATTCGAGCTCATCGGCGCTTTTGATGATCACCATGTGCGCACTTGCACTTCTCAATCCTGTGTCTGCGGCGGCAATATCATGTTCCGACAAAGGAGCGAAAATTAACACGACGTTAACTTCGAAGGCGGAACTTTACATAAATTACAAAGAATGCACCATCGTTCCAGCCGAAGCGAGCATAACGGAAGTCGCCTTACCATTCGAGCATCTTATCAGCCAGCACACTATTCAGTGGCGGACTATCGTCGATTCCAGGCAATATACAGAAACAATAGTCTGCCCACCGGGCGACGTCTGTAAACGAATCAACTGCATAATGTGCACAGAATTTCTCGGGAACCCCCACTGTGCCCCTCGAATGGTGGTAGCGATGTTAGCAATGGCCATAGCAATAGTCCTCGTCCCAATATTGCTGATATGCTACACAACTGGTTGCTACATACTCTTCAAGCAAAGTTCGAAACGACGTGGAAAGATGTCCATGCGGGCTAGGATACCAATGAAATAGCCGAACGATAGCTTTCCGGTGAGACAACTGAGCTTTCCGATGAGACAACTGTCTAGGCTACCAAGAAGCTCGAAGTTATAATTTTCAGCATCGTAATGATACACTTGACGGCTATCGGAGAAACGTGTCAGTACACACATACTCTCAACGCTAACAACACAGTTTGCTCTCGCTCATCTTACAAAACCGACTGCTTTGACGTACAGGAAAGCACAATTACAGTGAGCCAAAAAAGACCTCAAGCTTGCTTTCGTCTCCGGAACAGGAACCAAACAGTCGGGAGCATGGAAGTGCAGCTGCAGCACGTATTCATCACTTGCAATCCTGTCGTACTCTTTTACACGAGAGACGTCAACATTGTCACAGAATCTGTCAAGTCATCTCGCTGTCATCTCGCTTGTTCGTGCAGTTCACAAAAATGTGCACACATAAGCAGCAGGTCGGAAATCCCGGAGCTACACGACACCTACGAATTCCCAGGAACGCACGGTGCACTACGTCTTGTGGTGGAATCGGATGCGGTTGCCTTCTCCCCACGCCAGGATGCCTGTTCTCCCGCTCCTACGCGAAGCCAAAGAACGATAAGATCTATCAAGTATTCTATTGTCCAGCATGGCAGGAATCGGCCTTGATAACGTTTACCTACACTGGAATCAAGGGAGGAAAACGATCTGAAATGATTACAGTCGACACCCAAACAACGCATGTCATGAAGGACGCCAACATCACTCTGTAGTTTATAACAATGCCAGTTATTCCTTTACTTGGCACAGTATTCCTCGGATCAGTCGACTCCAATCATTCAGAAGTAGCCATAATCGAGGAAGAGGACTTTTTCGCATTACGATGTTCGAATCTAAGAAGTGCCTCGAACATATCGGAATGTTACGTTCAGTACGATCATGGAAGAGTCTTGGAAGCTATGCACAGTGCAGCCGTCGATCTCACGCTAAGCACCTCAGCTATGCGCCATGCCGAGTCTATAATTGGCGATGAGAACTGTGATATAACATCGACGTCACTTCAAGGATGTTACAACTGTCTACGGGGAGCTGAAGTCACACTTTCATGTTACCGAATCGTCCGATCATGATCGAAATAGAATGCCTGAAAAGAGTTTTCTCCGCAACATGCAATTCAACCACGGCTCACAACGGCTAATATTCTTTCCACAGTATCAAGATATAAATATAGCTGTCAAGTGAAATGCGGGCAAAAAACGCACAACCTCGTTATATCAGGAGTGTTGGCATTCCACACGCATTGGAGAACACTAGCTGGAAAACGCCTTACCGAGCACGCCAACTACGTCAATATATTCAACTACCCTGATCTGGGTCATCTACTAGATGTCGCAATGGACCACTGGAAATCAGCCGCGATGGCTTTTATAGCAGTCGCCATATTCGTGGCTATGATGGTCCTCACTATTTCGAAAANCATATAGATGTTTATAGTAGAACTAGCCTTTACCAGTATGATAGATAACATGCGAGTTCAACATATTAACCATAGGCGTAACCTGACATGAGTATCTCTTGAGTTGAGACCACAGGCATGACCTGGCGGTATCATAAGTGTGCAATCAAGTAGGTAGCTTAAATTCTGCCGTTGGCGCGGTCCGCTCTTTCATCCCCCGGAGTTGAGTACCGCCACGGGCCCCCTAAGGTCCAGTGACGATACGGTATCTGAGGACCGCCCACATATTGTGTATATGAACCCCGTGAATGTTATATTATGTCGATCCTTATACTAACACGCTGTAATACACATTACACGCACTGGTTAAGACTTCCATTGGCTCATTAGCCAAAGTCCTTCTAGAATCTCTTTCCTTTTTGTCATGTCTAAAGTGTACGAGCGATAACGTCGAACACAATAGATGAGAAAAACGCACATAAGTGCGAATAAGTGCAGACGTCAACAACTTTAGTTTTAGCAAAATCTGCTACCGCAACAAACACCTTGCTCTACCTGTGGATATTGTAGCTTTGCACTCAAATAGTGTTGGATAGGGTAAAATATGCTCTAGTTAAACACATCCAAATTTCGAGCGATTCAGTCTACTAAGAAAAAAGTTATGAACGAAAAAGCGTCAAGGCATTTCACTGAAGACTTTTGAGCGCCACTGTAGGTGTCTGTGAAAGGTGAGTTAGTCCAACTCTTCCGCCAAGTGGTATTTGACGCCTTTGGCAACGAGTAACCACGACATCAAGTTTTTATTCGATATCTGCTTTACAGATTTTATCTGTTGAAAGCCATTTTTCCGAATTTTTCACTTCATTACTATCCTCTCCACTCGCTTACTTCTTACCCTCTTGATGATGGCATGGGGGCAGAACGGCACCATTAAACTTTCGCATTTATTTGAGGTTACTTTGTACTTCAGTGCGCGATAACTGAGTGCTCATTCCTAAGTTCCCACACCCTTCAAGAACATTTCGTAGAACATCCTAACTTCTTCTCTTTCTTCTCTCTAGCGTAATCCTGCGTTTTCATTCTATCTATGGCATCTACTGCCGTCATTTTAGCGAACCATCGCAACCGCTGCTCTCTCATCTTCAGTTGAACTGGGGCTGTTTGCTTAACCGGCCTCACATCTTCATTTCTGAACCAATCGCCTCGTCCTGCCGCAAGCACATCTGAGCATTCTCCTTTCAGTGGAGTGAAGCTATCCTTCATGTTTTACTTATGGGCCAACACTCGCTGCCGTAGAACATTGTGGGCCTTACCACTGTCTAGTGCACCTTTCCTTTTGAGTCCTAGAGCACCGTCGCAGAGAATACCGGTGTGTTCTCTTCATTTCATCCATGCTGCGTTTATTCGGGATTTTACGGCCTGGTCCACGCCATCATCAGCGTCTAGATTCCTACCCAGGTATCGGAACTCCTGAACCTTTTCGATGGCTACCCCGTGACCCGTGATTGACTCCATGCCCTCCTCGGAGCCGAGGAATTTAGCCTTCTTCACGTTGAGCCAGAGTTCATTCTCCGCTAGCGCTTTCTGCCATTTCTGGAGCTTGTCCTGGGGTTCTTCCTTGCTCTCCGCTATTAGACGATGACATCAGCGTAGGGGATGGCCTCCTGTGGCCCACCAATAAGTTCTTTTGTGATGACTTCCATTGCAAGCAGGAAGAGGAACGGGCTCAGAGCAGATCCCTGATGTACCTCAACAGAGACAATTCGAGCCATCGTCCATGCCCTTGACTAGAGAGATCATATGTTCTGGAATGTTTTGTTTTCGCAGCGCTCTTTAGAGGAATTGTCGCGGGAGACGTTTGAATGCCTCCTCAAGATCGAGGAATAGCTTTCCTAGCAGAGCCTACGCTTTTCTCGATACTTTTCCGTAACCTGCCTAGCTACAAAGACGGCATCCGTTGTAGACCGTCCAGGCATGAACTGGAACTGCTTCTGCGAGATTGGGAGCAATCCTCTCAATCTTGATTCGACCACTCGCTCGTACAGTTTCATCGTGTGAGCAGTCGATCTGATTCCCCGGTAGAGGACACTTCATCGCTCCCCTCCTGCTTGAAGATGGGAACGATAGTACTGCTCCTCCACGCATCTGGAATTCTCCCTTTAGCGGTCACAGTGTTCAGGAATCGGGTGGGCCACCTTATCCCGTGCTCCCCGAGCGCTTTCAATGCTCGATCGGTACTCCATCTGCACCAGTTGCCTTCCTAACCTTCATCTTTCCTATTGCTCTGCGCACTTCATCCTCTGTCCAGAGTTTGATGGAGCCGATCGTTGCCTCTAATTAGGAGCTGTTCTTACGGGCGAATTCTTCGTCAAGGAGTCCGTCGAAGTATTCATTCCACCTAGGCGGAGGGGCATGTAACTGTAACTGTCCACCGGGCGGAGGCCCTGTTGGCCACTTCCTGGTGACGTCCTATTTATTGTGACTAGGTTTCTCCATCAGTCGGCCTGTCAACTTGGGTGTGACGCTGGTACCGATACCATTTTTGCAATTTTTGCAGGGCATGTAACTCCTCGACAGAGATCGAACTCGCGCTCTCTTCAAGTGCAACGTGAGCATACACTCTTGTCCTTTCGGCTATCCCTGCCTTGTAGAACATCCTAACCATCTGCTACTTCTCTGAGCGTTCTTAAGATTCAGTTTTTCCATGATCTGTTGGAGTGCTTCTATTTGGCAAAGACCCAAAACAAAAAGGCCATTTGGAGGTCTGCGCCCTTCGCAGTCATTTCTGGACAACATTCTGTACTATGAGGTTGCTGGCTGCTTTCATAGTCCGCCGGCCAACCTGCGAGCGGGCGCGCACTGGCAGGGGGCGGCGCTTATCACTTGTTTGCAACAGCATTTGATATCGCAAGCGTGGTAGTCCCCTGGTGGGCTATGAGAACAGCCGTTGGGTTGAAAGGTTAGGATGGTTCAGATTTGTGGAAATTTGTGATAGATATCATGAAACTTCCAGATACAATTGAGTGAGTCTATGGTAGTTTGTCGTGTTGTGTTAGGCCCCAAGATTTGCTTCAGCAAGGCCGTGGCAAATTGCCAAGCTTTTTCGCTGCCGGAACTCCTCTGGTAAAGTGCCAGTGATTCCCACAGCGAAAAGCTTGGGATACGGTACACGAACTATGTCACTGAAGTTTAGTAAGGAAAAGTTCAGCAAGAAAAGGGAAACTTTCGAAACTCGCATTAATATTTCAGACTCATTATTATTTTTAGCAAACACTAGCGCAGTTCGGGTGACCTTTTTCTCCTCCGGGCAGTATCACACGTCCACCCTTGCATGAAAATTGGAATTGCAGAAAGTATAATCCTGTAGATTATGTGTCAGGATATCATGCACATAAAAATGCCTAAGTAAGAATCCTGAAGTTCCCCTATTGTTTCACAGAAAATTGACCAAATGGTGATGGGCACTAATTACTACTGCATGATGAGCTTTCGGATTTCCAGGTTTTTTTTAAATAACAGAGTCTATCAATAATAACAAGGTATTTCTTCCCTTGTCGCCCTTCTCTTTCGAGGTGATCACCGGCTTTTCCACGACGAAGTTACCATGCCAGGGCCACAGTAGTATCGTTTTTCATGAAGCCCTTAACACAACTCCACATGACGGCGATTGCCACTCTTAACGAAG